AAATGCACGGCCGACACCTGATCTCTTTGTTAATGTCTCTGTTCCAGGAGCTGAATCGAGCTTTTGTCGACAGGACGGGCGATCAGTGTGGGAATCCGAGCGCAGCACAGGAGCTAAGAGATCAGGTAACCCAGTGATGAACGAACACGTCTGTCGGAGAGGAGCAGCGCACATAGTGGCCCATTATTTTAGGTTTTGTTTGCATCATTGCAGACCTTGCTGCTGTCACTATAATCCATCTTAGTGTCGTAGACAGATTCAGTGACATTTTAGAGCATTTCTGTTATTTTATCACTTTTGCAACAATCGTTCTTTAGCTCTTTGTAAGCTCCAGAGGAATCAAAAGATTAAACTTTATTCGGTATAATGTAACATTTCAGTGCAACAGCGCAGCCTTTATTACATATAAAGAGGGGATATATGCAGTACGTTTCACACAGTGGTCTGAACACAGTTAATGTCTTCTTCCCTTAGAACGTCCGGCTGCAGCAGGAAAACGCTGACCTGAAACAGAAGCTGCAGGATGTGCAGGAACAGGCTGAAGTTGTCCAACAGGCCATCAGAGACCGAGATGAAGCCATAGCCAAGTGAGGACCTCGTTTTTTCCCCTCAATATTCTCCCTTGACAGCATTTGTTTTACAAGAACAGCTGTTATATTTGATAGAATAATTCTGTAAATCTTGGGTGATTACATGTGTTGCAAACAGTGCTTGAAGGGGAATAGAAACAAGTGCCAGTATGTGGCATCTGTATGAGCAATCACTATTACATTCTGAATTTCTACAGTGAATAAAAGATACGAGGAGGTATTGGGTTTGGGGTCTTCCCTCAAGAAAATCTGTAAAAGTATTTTTACTTAAAACCAAGCAATATCATTTTGGACCATTATTATTACTATCGATAACACCCCAAAAGCTTTAAAACTAAATTTGCTGACGCTGCATGATTGTGATTGCCAAGATAATTTGATATGGAAAGGACAGAAAAGAGCTCACTTTGAGCACTGTTTGCACAACAAAAAGAGACACAATTCATGGTTTTATTATAGAAAGCTTCTCTTGCAGCCATAGTTATGAGTTTGAATATATTCTTGTATACGACCGTGATGTGACTAAAGAGGTTTCATCATTTCTTGGTAGGAAAAACCTGATGGAGGGCGAGTTGCTGAGAAGTAAAAACGACATGATGTCTCTCAACAACCAGTTATTAGAAGCCATCCAACGTAAACTGGAGCTGTCACAGGAGCTGGAGGCCTGGCAGGTGAGATCCCTTTTTCTCTCTGTAGAGCGTTTTTGTCCATCACATTCAGTCTACTGCACCTCAAACCATCTCTCATGCTATCTCTTTGTCCCAAACGGCCTTGGAATCTTTTAGCACATCTCCTGCTTAATGAAAAATAATGAAAATCATTAAGATCGGCATCAAACTAAAGTTTTAGTGATAGTTTAAAAAGACAGGAGGGAGGTCGGGGACAGACGCAGCCATATCTCTCTCAGCTCTACCAGTTTGGAAGAATATGAGCAGCAGGTGTTTCTGTCAGCGAGTCCTTCTGCTGCTGATGCACTACGCAGAGAAGAGCCATCTGCTGGAGGTTATGATCTCTAGCGTTTGGTTGAAGATAATGCAGATAATATTTTTATGTTAGCTGAAAACAAGTATATAATTGATACAGTCATATAACTATACTGCATATAGTGAGTCTGAATGATATAAGGGCGGTGTCGACATTGTTGAGTCACTGCTCCTCAGACTGATTATCTCTTCCTCCCCACCTTTCCTCAGGACGACATCCAGATCATCATCAACCAGCAGCTCAGGTCCCAGCAGCAGATGGAGCATCCTCAGAAGAAGTCCACCTCCAACGGCATGTCCTTCTTCCGCAGGCCCAGCAAGACGACCTCCACCTGGTCACGCCAGCCCTCCTCCTCCTCCTCCTCCTCCACCTGGAGTTCAGACGCTAATCAGGGCAAAACTCAATCCCCCTGGAGGGACTGGTTAAGACGGGGGAAAGGGGCAAACAATGGACAGTGAGTGCCATACCCACCTCCTGAGTGCTGAGGAGAGGATGTACCAGGAGGATGGGTCAGAGGGAAGTCACAAGTGCAGCTTCCAGTACATCATGTGTGGTGAAAAGAAGCCATGAAGACGCTTGTAATTCAGCGATGAACAACAGAGCCACTGCGGACAAAGACTTGTCAAATTGGCCCTTAATCGTATACATTTCATTGGAAGGCTGAGCCTTCCTAAAACCTAAATTAATGTAAAAAACACTAATTTTTCACAATTACATTCGAGGGTTTGCGTGAGACTGTAAATATTGTGCCTTCTTTCATAATGTTGTGAATGTCTTTATGTCTGAGACTATATATGGTAGGTGTAGATCAATGGAGAGTATTTGTTCAGATCATTTAATGTCACAGATCAAAGAGTGAGAGAGAAGTACTGTCAGGAAATAAACGATCAAACAGTGCATTTGTGATCGTGCTGAACTGTGACTTAGAATACCAAGTTTGATGTGAGAAGTTATGTGTCGGCTTTGCTCAAAAGCTAAATATGTGAAAATGTTCATTGTACAAGAAACACTGTATGTCTTTGTGTACAGTGAGATTGCTGTTGTTTTTTACAAATTAGTTTTTGTTCTGTGAAGGATGACTCGGTGTGGTATGGATCTGTGCATAGCTGACAAATGTATGTTCTGTGACTCGATGTTCAAAATTAAAGCTGCTCAGTACAAACTGGGTTGTTCCCTGAACTGTCTGAATGACCACATCTGGAATCATTTCATAAAAACATCAAATTATCCTTATAGGTTTTGAGTGTTGGTGTTTAGATTAAAAATGTCTTCAATTTAGAGAGTTACAATACAAAGTGTTACTTTACAATGTCAAAATGCAGCACTGGCCCCAGGATGACCATGAACTGAGATTGTGTGACAAATACACAAATTGAAAACAAGTGTATTTGCCTTGTGTGAGGTACAAAGAAAGATGGATGTAGATGAGTTTGAAAGAAGCAGCAGGAAGAAGGCGAGTATGAAAAAAAAAAAAAAAAACTGAAGACATTTCAAGTTACAGTAATAAGAATGAGAATGAAAGAGAAATCCACTTGGCTGGAATAAAATTGAAAGGGAGCAAGAACAGATGGACGATGTCAATCCAGTTATTGTTAAAAGAAGAGGTTTAATTATTGTTCACATGAATGACCCAGGTGTGCAGGGAATTAAAAGGTCAGGCAGGGAGCCAATCCATTAACTGTGTAGTATGTATGTAGTGCATTGGGTCATTGTAACCCATATTCCAATGCAAATACCGGGGAGACACTGGCACCATCAAACGTTTTTATTAAAAGAATCAGACAAAATGATTAAATAGGGTATATGTCAAAAGATTATTAATTAAAAGGCAATTTAAGTAAAACATGTAACTAAGGCCGAAGATTAGTCAGAGGGCCTTTCAGTATCTATTTAACTATTATAACAGCTTTAAATTCAACCATTTGTGTGTGTGTGTGTGTGTGTGTGTATATATGTATATGCATTATTTATTTATTTTTAAAGTCTTTGTCCAAGTACATACAAACTACAGCTTCATACACACAGGAGTGGGAGATGCAGTCTGTTGCTGCCCTCTGCTGACGGTCAGCACACATGATGAAGCGATCAACTGACCTCACACAGCCAGCGCAGTCTCACATTAAAGAGAAAAAAGAGGAAAATTTCATTCTCAACAAATTACACTTATTGAGTTCTGAATACAAGGGCTTGCAAATCGATATATTATTAATAATATTTTGTTGAAAACGTTTTTGCTAAATTTTGTTGATTTTCTAAAAAGGCCCAGAAATTAATCTGAGATATTTTTCTCATGATGGTGTACATAATAAGATAAGATAAAATAAGATTATTGATTTACAGCGGGGAAATTTGGTTGTTCCAGCAACACAAAGACAGCAGTAGTACAAATAAATAGACGGTAAAAGAAAAAAATAATAGGTATAAAAAAAGCTAAAATAGTAATACAATACAAAATAGAAAACTATACAACACCATATGGAGACACAAGTTGCAAGGTAGTGTGACAGTAGTGGGATATACTGTATATATGTATAGTAGCAGTAATATAATAGCAGCAGTCAGCAAATCTATGTTAACTGTGTACATCTACATTCACTCCTTATGTACATATTAATATGCATGTGTATCAGACTTTAGTGCATTCTTTTTCCTCGTCCATTTTTATTAAATGTTTATTGTATTTATTAGAAATACATTTGAAATGATTATTTTCTGTATGTTTTCATATTTAAGTGTATTTATTTACTTTATTTTTAAATTTTATATAATGTTTCCTTTTATCATAGGTTAGGGATATTATCATTAAAATGCCATATATGTCATTATCACTATTTTGATTGAATATATATTTAAGTTCATGAATCATTATTATGATAATAAGATACATTTATTTTTTGATGCAAAAATGGAAATGTTTATGCACCTACCAAAAACAAATAAAAACAAATCTTTACAAAAAACAGAAAGAATCAGTGTACACCAGACTGATATGTTTTAGTAGTAGTAGACTACTTTATTTGTCTGTATTAACATAGAGTGGTAGAGTGGAAGTAGTGTCTAATAGCTATATATAATATAACTCTTATATTCCTCTTACATAACTATAAAGAATGATGTATATCCACAGTTATTTACTGAGAATATAGTTCAAACGTTGGATATAAATATATTATTCTTTCAAACTATTATTTACAGTTGCATATATTCACTTTCTATAACACAGTGACACAGAGAGGTTGGTTTATTAAACCGTTTTTAATAATGTTTTCATGTTTTGTAAACTTACTCAGCAAACAAGACACTCCGTCTCCTTTTGATGACGTTGACAATTTCAATTTACATAGGAACTGCCTCTGGTTTCGTAGAAGCATTTAAAAAAAGAAAATCAAAAACACACACTTCTTCAAGCCAAACAGGTAGGACAGCGCTCTGTATCGATTGTGTACATTATTTAGACTTATTAGTATAGATACTACGCGAAATCCAAGTAACAGTTTGTAAAATCAATGCTGAAATAGAGTCGTGGTGACCCAATGGCAGCTTAGCTTGCTAACTAGCCAACTAGCTAACTAGCCCTAATACAGGGCGGCCAGTGCTACTAACTCATGTTAACCCTGCTAGCTAGTTAGCTTTAGCAAGCCAACTAGCGTCAAGTAGCTAACGGTGCTACTAAAATGCTTAACGGGTGACAGGACACGTTTGAAATAGCGTAACGGTGGCTAGCTTGGAGAGCTAGCTCCATAAAGTAACACGAGCATATAACTGTAACGTGCTGAAGTGGTGAGTAACCGTGACAACATATGGTAACTTTAAGAGGTGAGGACTGATCAGACAGTCCAGTGAACAATCATGACATCTTCACTGCTCTCTAAGTGACTGTACGCAGGGAGGAGTTGTGTTGTTGATTCCCATTCATCCCATTTTATCTGTCAAAAAGTTGTCTAATCTAGTCAGAGGGGGAAACATCGTAACGCTAGTGTGGAAGAATATAAATCAACAGTGAAAATAGAGTTTTAAAGATGTTTTTAAGGGACAACTGGCCTGTAGGAAGTGGGCATTTAGAGGCATTAAATCCTGGAGGCAGTGATGCTACATTAAGGAGGCAGAATGCTTTAAATCCTTAAAGAAGCCAGTGTTCTCTGAGCCATTATGTCCTGGCTTCACTTGGAGATGATAATCTTCTCAGTCAGTTGCTCTAAGAAGACATTTTATGAGATGTGAGGACCTTTTTTGGACATACTTTTAAAACACACCCACCTCATACTATGACATGCATTCTAGCTCTACCCGTGACATGAAACACACTCTTGACTTCATGGAAATAGCTCATTGTTTTGTGCCTTAATACTATTCTAGATAATCAAGAGGATGGGGCGATTGGGGGGGTTAACATACTAAATACTAAATATTGTTGTTACTTTTATATATTACATTGGTGTAATTCCTTTGCCACTTAGTTGCCGTGTCTGCATCGCTCCTTCAGGCTGGGATCTTGGATGGAGTGAGTGTTGAGCCCCAGTGAGATGACTGACCAGGGCAACAACAACCAGAGCATCTCCTGCAACCCCTTCGCTGCCCTCTTCAGCTCACTGGCTGATGCCAAGCAGTTTGCGTCAGGCCAGAAACCAGAACCATCTGCAGAACCACCATGTGAGTAGAGCTACCAGAGCTACTGCAATAGGTATAGGTCATAGTGGCGTCTTGTTTAAATGGATCCACATGGTTTTCACCTCTGCATCTTGTACCACAGTGGAGGACTCAGGAGAGAGCCAGTCAGAGCCAGAGTCAGAAAACTCTGTGTCGGACAGCGTCGATGACAATGACGACTCCGTGGCAGAGATCAGCCGCTCCTTCCGGTCCAGGCAGGAGCTGTGTGAACAGCTCAACGTCAATCACATGATCCAGCGAATATTTCTCATCACTTTGGACAACAGTAAGTAAAAGGAGGAAAGTAATCAGCTAGTTTCTGGTTTATAAACATCTCAACAACCTAAAGGTGTGACAAACAAGTGTTATATGGGTTTAGTCAAAGACTTTTGATTACTGCATAATCACATACTGCACATACAAGACATTTTACCGACATGACCCAAATATCAAAAGTCAATGGCAGATAGATACCTGGTAGTAACACACGAACACGTCCTCAACTGTAGTGTTCTCCTCCAGGAGATATCTCTGCCAGGAGATATATAGATTGTGTGTGTGTGTGTGTGTGTGTGTGTGTGTGTGTGTGTGTGTGTGTGTGTGTGTGTGTGTGTGTGTGTGTGAGAGAGAGACTGTGTGTATGTGAATAAATGAATGTGCATCTCTGTGTCTCTGTGTCAAGGACTTCTTGCAGTTGCAGTGACTCACTTTCTCAAAACACCTTTTATTATATCGGTAGGAGCTGCTAGTAATCACACGGCTGAGTGTATCGCCGCCGCCCAGCCGCTGCTCTGCCGGCTTGCAATCTTCAGCTCTAGTGTTGGCATCTGTCTGGTCTATTTTTTTTATATCCCAAATGGCTGTTTGTGATATTGTGTTATTTAAGTTTCGTACTTATTCCACATATTTGTCAGTTGTGTCGAATCAGAGAGCGAGAGATGAGCTGACACACACACACACACACACACACACACACACACAAAGATAGAAAGAGCAGAGGAGCAGAATCGCCTGATGACCGGCACAGAGAAATAGATTAAAATAGACCCCAGATCAGTAATCATGACCTGATCGGACAATCCTGCTCACAGCGATCAAAAATCCTGATTTGAGCACACTTGGATGTAACGCTTTAATACCAAAGTTGAGCAGTGTGAGGTAAGTGTAAATCCCTAAGCGTGTGTCTGGTATTGTTGTGTGACTGTTGAGGAGCAAGGTTGTTGTGTGTAATATGATTTAAGCTGACAGTATTTTAAGGACCCTGGTTTTATTCTCCCTAGGTGACCCCAGTCTGAGAGGAGGTAATGGGATCCCCCTTCGCTGTGTTTACCTGGAGGAGATGGCTGCCGATCTGGATGGACAGGACTGGCTGGACATGGACAACATAGAACAGGTGAGATGTCTTCTTTCTCTCCTCTTATTAAATCACACAATTGAGGGTACGATTTGGTGAAGAAATGGAAACACCAACAACTTGATTCGTTATGTAAGAAAATACATGGGTGAGTATGCAGATGTGCAGAATGTTTGACACGGCCTGATTTGTGTCTTCCAGGCTCTGTTTAACCGTCTGCTGGTACCAGAGCCAGGAAACCACCTCATCTACATGACGTCATGCAGCACTGTGAACCTGTCTGCTGACCGTGATGCTGGACAGAAGTGTGCCATCCCGTACCTTTTTGCTTGTTACCAGAGGGCCAAAGAAGAGGTGTTTGGTGTTCTTTTTCTACATAGATTACCGGCTGTTAGTAGACTGATCGTGTTAATTAAAACATAAAAATAACCCACGCTCTTCCGTAATTCAGTGACTTTATTATCTGCGCATTAGGTGACGAAGGTACCAGAGAAGTTGCTGTCGTTTGCCGTTCGCTGTAAGAACCTGACAGTTTCCAACACACGGACGGTCCTGCTCACCCCAGAGATCTACATCAGCCAGAATATCTACGAGCAGCTTCTGGACCTGTTGCTGGAAAGTTTCAGTGCAGCACGTAGGTTCAGGACTCGCGTATTCATCTCGTTTCATCTTGTCGTCTTCGCTGAAGCGTTCCTCGAGTTTTCTCTACTCGGTTTTCTTACAAAAGTCGATGTGTTTCAGAGCCAGAGGAGGTGGTTGAGTTTGTGGAGGAGGTCATTGCCGCTCTGCTGTCTGACCAGGAGGTGCGTACCTTCCAGGAGGTGATAGCACCAGTGTTGGATATCTTCCAGGGACGCATCAAAGACATGGACCTGTGCCAGCCTCTCCTCTACTTCTACCTGGATGTTCTGCTCTATTTCAGCCACCATAAAGATATCGCCAAGGTCAGGAGACACACAGGGATGTTCGCAAATGTTATCGTATATTTGCCGACTCACAAACAACGTATTCACTGCCCGCTACTACTCAACTAATATACAATAATAAACGGTGATCACATAATCCTAATCGGATATACTGTAATGGCATAATATTTCAAAGCGCTACCTAAACTTTTTTTGTGCCCCCAACTTTTAAAATCCTAGGTATTGGTGGAACACATTCAACCCAAAGACCCAGCGAATGGTTTGCAGTACCAGAAGACCCTACTGGGAGCAGTGTTGAGTATCTCCTGCTTGTTGAAAACCCCAGGTGTGGTGGAGGGACATGGCTACTTCCTGAACCCCTCCCGCTCCAGCTCCCAGGAGACGAAGGTCCAGGAGGCCAACATCCACCAGGTAAATAGATTCTCTTTAGTTTGATGTGGCTGTTTTTGTTTCCTGTCTTTTAGAAATGAAACCATTAACCATTAAGGGATTGTCAAACTCCAAATGTCTCGGGGCTTATGTTGTTTACTCCCCTTTGCGTTACAGTTCATGGGTCAGTTTCACGAGAAGCTGCACCAGATCTTGAAGAATTTGCTCCAGCGAACTGGTGAGACGCGCCATTTGCTGCTATTATGGCTGGGCAGCTGTCTGCAGGCGAATGCTGGCCGTGCCAAGATATGGGCCAATCAGATGCCGGAGATCTTCTTCCAGATGTACGCTTCAGACGCGTTCTTCTTAAACTTGGGTGCAGCGCTGCTGAAGCTGTGCCAGCCCTTCTGCAGGCCACGGTCACCCAAACTGCTCACCTTCAACCCGACCTACTGCGCCCTCAAAGAGCTGAGCGAAGAAGAGAGGCGCAATCGCAACGTGCACGTAACAGGTTATAACCTTTTGAATACATTTTTATTCACAGTATTAATGCAGCAGCTCTGGTGTTGGTTTTGTGTTTTATAGCATTACCGTTCATGACTAAATGATTCCTAATGTCTTGTACCAGGTCTCGACAAGGAAACCTGTCTGATCCCGGTGCCCCCTCAGCAGCCGGTGGAGTCAGCGCAGACCTACAGCCTGCTGACTGAAAACCTCATCCTCACACAACTCACCCTGCACCTTGGTTTCCACAGGTACCTTCCAACAAGCAGGCAGCACAGCTTCCATAAAGATGCCGAAGAGTTTCTGTCTCGGAGATACTGTATGTTCCTCACCATCGCATTTGTCAGCAATAACCGGTATTGTCTTGCTCTGTTTGTGTCCACGCACCCGTGCACATGCTTAATGTGCATGTGCAGACTCCACGAGCAGATGGTGAAGATGAACCAGTCTCTCCACCGGCTCCAGGTGACATGGCAGGAGTCCCAGCAAACAGGCAACCCAATGTCAGAGCAGCTCCTGGAGCAGTTTGAGCGTCTGATGATTGTTTACCTGTCGACCAAAGCTGCCACCACGCAGCCCGCAATGCTGCAATGCTGCCTTAACCTCCAAGCTTCCACGGCTGCTCTGCTGGTTCAGCTTGGTGTGGGGAACAAGGGGCCTGAACATGTAGCACTCAGTTTCCCCCTGTCCTCCCTACAGAAGTCTATGCTCTGCTATGTACCAGGTAGGTCCATTTTATTGTCAAATTGAACTGTTTTCATCATGATTTCAGATCATGTAATACAAATTATAAATGGATATACTTTTGGACCTGATGGGTTATAAACAGCCAATACTACAAAATGTTTTGAAACTGCTGTAGTGGGTAGTCACTCGTCGTACTATTATTCATCATGCTGAATATTCCTTAATTTAGTCATTACTTAAGTGTGCCTATTTTTTTTTTTTTTTTTTTGTCAGAGTTTTTTGCAGAGAATTTGGGAGATTTTTTCATCTTCCTGCGTCGATTTGCAGACGACGTTTTGGAGAGTTCTGCAGAAAGTCTGGAGCAGATTCTTAACTTCATCACCGTCTTCATGGGTAACATAGAGAGGTACATGTCTGAATGTATCATGTCAGGTTGAAAGGAAGATTAGTGATGCCCAATGAGGCTTGAATGATGCGAACCATCTTGGACTTTTTGCTTCAATCCCTTTTTGTCCTGTATGCACAACAGGATGAAGAACCCTCATTTAAGAGCAAAGCTTGCAGAGGTCTTAGAGGCGGTGATGCCCCACATGGAGCCGGTGGCTCCTGGTGCTGTTCAGCCAATCGTGTTCCAGCGAGAGAGAGTCTTCTGCTCCTATAGACATGCAGCTCAGCTGGCTGAGGCCCTCATCTCTGTGTTTGTAGACATTGAATTCACAGGTATTGTATTCCTCACAACTTTTGATTTGCTCCTGCTAGTTGTAGATGGAAGCAGTGTTGAGCTGTTGAACTGTATTGGATACAGGTGCTGTTACAAGTATGAACACTTGGAAAGTTTAAAAAGAACCTGATTAAAGGCTGAACGTCACACAACATTCACAATTACAATTAGAAATAAAAATAAAAACTGGCTCTTGGGATCATTTTGGGTCTTTTTCTAGTCAGGTGAAGAGGTTGGATTGTGTGTGTGTGAACACCTGTGTGTGTTTAAGATAATTATCACAATAAGGAGATAAGCTGGATAAAGTGAAAATAAATCATTATTTGACTAATATTTTTAAGTTATTTATTTAATTTTCCCCTCTGTATTTCAGGCGATCCTCATCAGTTTGAACAGAAATTCAACTACAGACGACCCATGTATCCCATCCTCAAGTACATGTGGGGCAAAGATAGCTACAGAGAGAGTATCAAGGTAATAAGAAACTGCTGTCTTTGAGATGTTTTTGTTATGACAATCCTCAATAATCTCATGCTGTCTCTATCATGTTGCTTGCTGTCCCAATAGCTAGAAAGAAACTCCTTAAATCCATTATTTAAAGAATAGCAACACCTAAAAATTCACTCATAAAGATCTTGAGGCGTATCCTATGAGGTGTATTGCAGAGTTTATGATCTGGCAATTCTATCAACAGCAGAAACAGATTTTTAGTAAGCAGCAGTAGAGTTATTACCTGTATTTCCTCACTCTTGTGGTGTATCGTGAGAGGAGGAGTAGTAGTGAATAATGGTTGAGGAAAAGAAGTGACCTGTGATTGACTGCTAAACTGTCTAGAATGTTTCATTGTATTTCACTCAATGACCTCAATGAGATTGCCTTTGGCCCCCTTGTGACCCACAAAAGCCATAAATGTAATAGCAGCAGAATGAATGAGGGCAAAAACAGGCATGCGCGGTTTCATTACCAGGTGAATGTATATTGGGAAACTGTATTTTATTTAGCAGATGGATCCCAGTGTGCTCCTCATGGAGTTTGACGTCTCTTGTTTCAGCATTTGGCGCACTATGCATCTGAGAACCTGGAGGCCATGAACCCCCCTCTGTTCCTCAGGTTCTTCAACTTACTGATGAATGACGCCATCTTCCTACTGGATGAGGCTATTCAGGTAAGATCGCCCATACATGCAAAACTTTACACCAATTTTGGCAAATAAGCTTTGGTTTTTAATTAAGTCCCATCTTCTAATCTTGTAGTACCTGAGTAAAATCAAGGTTCAGCAGTTGGAGCGGGATCGAGGGGAGTGGGACGGACTGGCCCCCGATGCCCGAAAAGAGAAGGAGTCAAGCCTGCAGATGCTTGGACAGTTAGGACGCTTCCACAACATCATGTCTAATGAGACCATCGGCACGCTGGCCTTCCTCACCTCAGGTCAGCCAGAAAACATTTGATTCTTCATGTCGATTCACTCATTTAAAGTGTTGTCTTCATCCGTTCCATGTGTGTTTTTCCTCCCTCTCAGAGATCAGGGGGATCTTTGTGCACCCCTTCCTGGTTGAGAGGATCATCTCCATGCTGAATTACTTCCTTCAGCACCTGGTGGGTCCGAAGATGGGGGCTCTTAAAGTCAAGGACTTCAGCGAGTTTGACTTCAAGCCCCAGCAGCTTGTTTCTGACATCTGCACCATCTACCTGAACCTGGGGTATGTTGTGAACACTCCTCTTCGTGGAAATAGCAGTCTCTTGTTTATATTTTCATTGTTTAAACTCTGGATTTTATTGGTGCCATATCCTCTGGAGCAGAAATACTCACATTGCTGAGTATGACAACCAGTCTGATTTCCAATTAAAATAAATAATTTGTTCTGTCTTTGGCAGTGATGAGGAGAATTTCTGTGCTACGGTTCCAAAGGATGGCCGCTCGTACTCTCCGACCCTCTTCTCCCAAACAGTTCGAGTACTGAAGAAGATAAACAAGCCTGGAGACATGATTGTGGCTTTTGCACTCCTTGCAGATAAAATAAAGGTATCGTTTGACTTGGTAACTGTTTGCCAGATAACATTAGAATATATGTTTTGTTTTTTTTAAACCTTTTTTTATGAATCTGTGCATTAATCCCAGTGGTGAATACAGGTGGAAACGCTTATGTTGTCATTGTGCATCTGTTTTAGTCCCATGCAGACAGACATCAGCAGGAAGAGGAGACGTATGCAGATGCCCCAGATGAGTTCTTGGATCCCATCATGTCCACTCTGATGCTCGATCCTGTTCTCCTCCCTTCCTCCAATGTCACAGTGGACCGCTCCACTATAGCAAGGCATCTCCTCAGGTTAGTTATGTCCTACGAGGCACCGACATCCTTTCTAGATGATTGTCATTGTTTGTCTTTTCTGCGAGCAGAGAAATTGGGATATCTGTGTCTTTTATTGGGATCTTTTTGTAATCTGATGAATCGGTATTACTTGTGGATGAGATGTAAACACAAATACTTGGTGTGCTGGAGTCAAATAATGCAACTATTGATTAATTATGTCCTCCTTGCAGTGACCAGACAGACCCTTTCAACCGCAGTCCTCTAACCATGGACCAGATCAGGCCGAACCAGGAACTCAAACAGCAGATCTTACAGTGGCTGGATAAACATAAGCAGGAGCGGCTGCAGCTGGGACCCAGTGGCTAGCCAGCCCCGCGATCCCTCGCTGTGATAAACAATGACTGCGTCCCTGTTTTCTTTATACCGGCTCACTTCTCGAGTGCTCCTCCGCTTCTTGGCTAATCCATGGTGTTGCTTGCCTCTGGATCTTCTTCTGACTGTTCTCCGGTCAGACAAACATCGCATTAGCCTTTTCATGCAGCCTTCACGCTCAGTGGATTGTATCCACTACAAACAGTCCAGCAAACTGCAGCCCACCAGCTGGTGACAACTTCAGAATCCTTACCAATCCACGCAGTAACTGTTCTGAGTCCCATGATCCCCTCTGGTAACATAGGTAGGGTGATTTACAACCGCTGGTTCCTTCTCTCCCTGAATACTGTGTATTAATTAGTTATTATTACAGTCAGAACTGTGGCCAGAAGTATCATTTTCAACAGGATTTGTTGAATGTACTGTATGAACTCCTGACTGACCAGCTGGCCCTAACCACATTTTATACTACAAGGTAAGTATTTTTGGGAACTGTTTATGATTTCACCTCGATTTCACCTTAATGTAGAATACATTATGCACTGCTTTTTAAAGTTCTTGAACACCCTACATTTCAGCTCTTGTGGTTAAATCTCAAGCAGCATAGCATTGTAGATAACATTTGCAATTAAAGGCAAGGCACAGGTAAAACTGAATTTAAAACCTTGTTCACTGTAATAAGACACCTGAAGCACAAAACCATACTGTGAACACTGTTTCTCTGTATTTTAACATATATAGATAAGTGTCTTCACATCTTCAACTGCACCTGCTTTAATCAAGCACTAATTAAAGTAATTGATGGGATCTGAGCGCTTGCCAACTAATAGGTTGTTGGAAATAAGGATTTAAACTGTGTTTCAGTTACTACTAAACCCATTTTAGGATGAAATACATGCAAAGTAATAAAAGTATTTTTGCACACTCAAATTGGTTGATTGTTAAGTGTGGCATTAATGGACACTTGTTTGGTATGCTTACACACAGAAAGCTCCCTTCAGAGCTACAGAAGACATAATGCGATTGTATTTACCCGAGTAGTACTCCTCATGAAAAGTAAACAGATCCTCATGTTTAAATTCTGTTAAGTGCTCTTTTAGACACTGATCATACGCACAAAAATGACTGCTCCTAGCACAAAAAGGCAAGAAGACGCTATCAAAACACTGCTTTGGATATCAAATTTAACCTGCTAAAACATGGTGGCTGTTCCTGAAATGTCTCCGAAAAACTGTCCACTGGGTCACAGGTGAAAAATAATCAATGCTTCATAATATATCTGAAAATGCCTAGTTTTCATAAAGATTTAGAGACGCCAAGTCTAAATATAGTCTAAACATTTGCTGATTTGTTGGTCCTTATTTGACTGAGTTCAATTGTTCTCAGGTAGATGTTTACAAACTCAAATCTTGTGGCGAAACATGAGCTTGCGAAAATATATTCTGGCTAGTTAATTTCCAATAGTTTAAAGATCACAATATTTTCTCAATTTACCTAAATGTGCGGTGTTCAATAACTTGATTTGCAGTGCGTACTGTGTAATAATCATTGTCATCCTTTTGAAATGAACATTCAGCCGATTAACTGATGTATACTGATCTAGCATTTTGAGCAGATTGTTGTGTGCAAGCATAGTATATTAACATGTGGGCAAACAAATGATCAATAGAATCGGTGCCTAAAACCAAGAGCCTTGTTGTAAATGTCAACGAATAAGGATCCGACTCGTTTCATACTCTTACGAGACATAATTATGAGTTTGTTTCTTTTGGGCATACAGGGAGCTGTGGCTAGAATATTAAAGACGGACAAAGATGACCTGTTTTTGAGTAGCTTTTGAATTAAATGTTTTTAGTTCAAAATCAAGTGTGGTTGTAAAAAATGGCAAAATATGAGAGAAAGATGATGTATTTGTTGGCATGCTCTCATACTGTATGTTAAATATCTACCACCTGAATGATTTCATGGATTTAAATTATAATGCAATATTTTTGTTTTAATTGTGATTATAAAATGTTTATTTTGGATGTACAGTATGATTAAAAAATAAAAACTAATGTGCGTTATATAAGATATCGACATGTTTGCTCTCTTTCAGAGTTCACTCCATTGCAACATAGCTACATAATATCAGTCATGAAATGTATGAACAGAAAAAAGAGGATTTCAAAACAAGTTTAAATCTAAATACTGATTATTTACCAGTAACTGATGTTTGTGAATGCTGCATCTTGTTTTAGAACACGGTTGAAGTACATATTTTTTATCAAGGACAATACGAGTGTCAGAATATTTTATCTTCCTTTGATAATATAAACTCTCGGGTTTGTTTAACACACTTAAGACTCAGATTTGCAGGTTCTTGCGATATTATGTCGCCAAGTCACTTTCAAACAGCTTGTATAGCAGTGATGTCTATATGTCAGGCAATCTCAGCAGCTGCGTGTGAAATTCTTTAGAGCAAGACTCCCCCGTGTACTGTCGGTACTTACAATTCTCACATGGCAAGTTTGTTTTGGGCCACATCTCCTGGTTGTAACGTGCACATCTAGTTAACATCATAAACTTAAAAGTTTAGCTGTTTCTATTGAGTATCGAGAAACACACTCAGGTTAAAGGAACCATACATTATTGGACTGTGTGCTCTTTGTCTTTACTAAATATATACATATATGTCTTTACATGTTCATTGTAACACTAACTAATTCAGTTGTCATGAATATGGTCATGACATTCAGTATTGTACATTACATATGACATTTTGTTTGCATGCACTTGGTGGTAGTTGACAAAAATTGTCTTTATAGACAATTGTCAATTACCGTGTAATTAATTACTAATTTCAAATAACTTTTTTTCAAGAGGGAGAGAAAGACACAGAGATGTGCAGCAACAACAATAGTAGCACAACAGCTATAATAATAGAAATAGGAACAATAACAATAATAGCAGCAGCGGATATATTAGAGTGATATTATCAGTAATTGACTATCAGTAGCAATAGTCAAAATACAAATATGACTGATAATAACGATAGTGGGTGTCAAGCAGGGCCATACTGTATATATATATATATTTATATATATAGAGAGAGAGATTCTGCTCTGGATTTTACAGGGAACCAGTGCAGAGAAGCTAATATGGAAGTAATATGTTCTCTTTTCCTGGTTTTTGCAAGTACATGTGCTGCAGCATCCTGCAACAACTGGAGAGTCTTAAGTTACTTATTGAGCAGGCTGATAAAGAGTTGCAATAATCTAGTGTACAGGTAAAAAAATGCATGGATTTGCAACTTTGTGAAAGATGTGGATCAGGGAAGCTGGGGCCCTGTCCCAAAGCCCCTTTTCAGCTTCATGCATTTTAACAAATATTTTTTAAACAGCAATTTCTCTTGAAAAGGGGTGTAAGTGGGGCAGCAGAGCAATACTCCTCCCTGGGGGGCAGACTTCATTGCAACGCCCCTGCATTAATACACAACTACAGGTTACTATTACAATATTGCTTTTTGGGTCACAGTTTGTATTGCGTGATCTTGGAGTTTGGTCTAAGCTTGTACAAAAGCTTCTCACTTTCATTGTTTGGGAAACCACACTACAAGGTAACGGTCTTGTCGTTCCTTGTGATTCAAGTGCGAGGCACCTTTCCCGGGCAAAGCCCCTGAACCTGATTTGGATTCGGCCATGCAGACTCTGAATAGGGCCGCTGAGAAAAATGCATTGTCGGGGTTTCTTCAGTTCCGCCCCGCAACCTGTATAATGATGTGACGGCCAGTGAGAGCGGAGCGCTGTGGTAGAGGTTGTTTATGTGGAGTGCTGGGTTAGGGTTCCGCCCACCGAGGTATCTCTGATCGCAGGGCAGACAGGCAGAGAGTGTAAAATGGCGCACAGCTGTCGGTGGCGGTTCCCCGCTCGGCCCGGAGGGAGCTGCAACTCCGGTACCGGGAGGAGAGCGGGCCGAATCAGGGTTACTGCCTCTCTGCGGAGTGTCTCCGGAGCAGCGGGGCTCGGACCCGGTTTTGATGCTGCACTACAGGTCTCTTCGGTTATCGGGAGCAACCTGCAGAAATTTCGGGATGTTTTGGGGGAATCGACTGACTCGAGCAGCGGAGAGGTAAGCACGGGACGGGAGCAGCCCGGTAGTAACCATGGGAGCTCTGGTTGGTTAACTGCCGAGCACGAGCCGTTTTAGATGAAAAGCTAACGGTTACTCTCAGCCCAACCGTTGACCATCTTTTCCTCCTCACGTTAAGTGAGGCTGTGAGCAAACTTGTCATTTCCAGGATGCTCTGTTAACTTTGTGTTTCTTGTGTGGCCTTAAAACTCTACAGTAACACGTTGTAATGTTAACTTTAGTTACAAACAACACACACACACACACCAAATGGTTATCAGATTTATGGTCTCAAAAGGTCCAACTGGAAAGAAAGTTTTCCTCATCTCAGTGGAGTGTGAGGACAGGCTACATCCACACAGTTTGGATGAATTGGTGCTAACGTTAAGTCTGCTAGCCAGACCAAAACACTGTGGAGAAACCCCGCTGTTATCTGGTTAATAACAACATAAAGTATAGTTAACACAGAGCAAGTACCCTGTGTAACTCCGCCGTTACAACTGTTAGCTTACTTGACATTAGCTTGACGTGAAGCCTTCAATTGTGGACATGTTGCCTTCTAATGCACGTAACGTTACATCAACACAGTGAAAGTTATCGTCCCTTATTAGCATTAATCTTAACTTCTAACAAGGAAAATATGATTTAAACATATTTTGGTTCCCCCCCTTGGTGTAATAGCCCGGGACCTTCAAGATAGTAATATGTTCGGAAAAGAAGACATGTCATTTTGAAGGAGTACACAATTGTGGTTTGTAACAAGCTAACGTGAATTTAGCTGTCTGTCTACAACGTATCCGAGAAAAGAGCTCTTCATTATTCACTTACTTACTGACTTTCAGATTTCTATTAGATAATATTTGTCAGCTAAATAGCGTAGTAATTACAATATTAGCTCAGGGGCTGGCTGTTTGAAGTGAGGTGTCAAGCTAACATAGCTGATTGGTTAGCTCGCAGGCTAGCTGTCTACATCTCACAGCTAAAGCTACATCAACATCATCCTGTCGTGAGCGATGTGAAAGCTGCAGGTTTGCTCCAGAGGGTTCATGTGTTTAACGTCACCTTCGCTCAGCACATTACCACGTAACGGGTTAAAGCACTGGAGCCAAAGTTGGTTGAGCTCACACACACACAAAACTAAATCATTACTGTGTGGTGTTAAGCTAGGAGTCAGCTACCATGCTACGCACTACGCCACGCTAGCCACCGGGGCTATTGCTGATGCATAGGAAAATGGGAGGTGGACATGTTTTCCCCTTCTCTACACAGCCACAACGAGGCTATTACCAAAATATTATCGGTTGTATAATGCTTGCGGAGACCGTCTGGCTCACAGCCGAATACTCGAATTCACTCTCTTCAGCTCAGAAGTGCGAATAAGAGGATATATATATGCAGGTTTTGGTGTATGATTTTTGTCATAAAATGAGACTTGCTAGTGACAGTGCGCATGCAGGGCTGGCTACAATAACAACGAGCCTCTTCTTGACGGACCGTGTGATGTGGGGGTGTGTTCGCCTTAGCGAACTACCATCTTCCTTCTTCATGATGAGCAGCATGCGTTCATTGCAGTGGGAGTAACGTTACACTGTGTGGGGATGTTTACCACAGACTCTTAGTGCTCCACAGACTGCTTATTTGGTTGAAGCACAGCAGTATTTGCATGCATGCT